GTGAGCTAGGGACAGGGGTAGAGGCATGATATGAGCTAGGGACGGGGCTAGAGGCATGACGTGAGCTAGGGACGGGGCTAGAGGCATGACGTGAGCTAGAGACGGGGGTAGAGGCATGACGTGAGCTAGGGACGTGGCTAGAGCATGACGTGAGCTAGGGACGTGGCTAGAGGCATGACGTGAGCTAGGGACGTGGCTAGAGGCATGACGTGAGCTAGGGACAGGGGTAGAGGCATGATATGAGCTAGGGACGGGGCTAGAGGCATGACGTGAGCTAGGGACGGGGCTAGAGGCATGACGTGAGCTAGAGACGGGGGTAGAGGCATGACGTGAGCTAGGGACGGGGCTAGAAGCATGATGTGAGCTAGGGACGGGGCTAGAGGCATTACGTGAGCTAAGGACGTGGCGAGTGTGTCGGGACCATGAAGCAGAGCTGTGGAGTCGGAATCGTAATGCAGAGCAGTGGCACGGCAACGGGACGGGACTTGAACCGGGGATATGACAGGAACCGGGACCTGGGGCGTACCAGGGACTGGGACCAGGACATGGGACGTGGCAGGGACCGGGACATGGGATGTAACATGGACTGGGACCTGGAACGGGACAGAGACATGAACCTGGAGCTGGACAGGGACTTAGACCTGGAGCAGGACATGGCGTGAACTTGGACAAGGGGCCTGGCTTGAGCTTGGATGAGAGTCGTGGCTGAAGCTTGAGTGGTGAGTGAAACGTGAAACTGGATGAGGTCTTGAGACTTAGCTGTGGCAGGAACCTGATAACTGGTCTGGACTGGCTTGAACTTGGCTCTCGGAGGCTCGAACTTGGACGGCGGAGGCTCGAACTCGGAACGCGGAACCTTGAACTCGGAACTCGGAACCTTGAACTCACATGGTGGAGACTTGAACTCATACTCTGAACCTTGAACTCACATGGTGGAGACTTGAACTCGGAACTCGGAACCTTGAACTCGGAACTTGGAACCTTGAACTCGGAACTCGGAACCTTGAATTCGAAAACTTGAACTTGCATGGTGGCTTCTTTGCTGTTCTCCTACTGCATCCATGGTGCCGCGGTTCGATCTGCTGCGTCTGTAAGCAAGGCTTGGGATTCTGTCACCAGGTTGTAGACGGGGACGGAGGCATGTGCAGATCCAACTTCTTTATTAAACATAAATATAAAAACTCAAATCAAATGTAGCATAGACAAACCAGGAAACCGCTATTGCTCACAATTGAAAAAGTACAAAATGTACATATATTTTGAATAATAAAACAGTAACATAAAGCATGGAAAAACAGTTTCATTTTCACCAAAAACATTCAGTAGCCACTGCATCTAAAATAGTGTGGTGGGGTACAGTAAAAACTTACATGCCATCTTGTCAAATATTGCATGTGCCATGCATGTTTTTCAACAGAACAGACTTAAACATTATAAACAGTAACAGCACTTTCATGCATATGCTAAACTAGAAATGAAACATTTACGCTGCATGAATAAGGCAACAATGAAAGGGTGAATGTTAGTGAAGAAATATGCAGTTCCAGCTGCTGAATAATCAAAGTTAAAGTTACACATGCCCAAAACCTGCATGACCCAATGCACATAATCAAGTCCATCCTGAAGGACTGGTAATCTTTGTAGTGCCCTGGTAATCTGAGGATACAGAAGCAGGTAGAGGCTCTTGGGAGGTCACCACTAACAACTTCCACAGCCAGACTTTCTTTAGCAACTTCCCATCCAACCCAAAACTTGACCAGGTCCTTCAGTTCCTTGCTACATGCTGAACAAAATCTTTTTCAACAAGTTATTTTGTCATTTATGACAGCAACATTTTGTGGTCTTGGGCAAGGCACATTATTCACTTTATTTTAAAATGCAAAATAGAACAACAAAACATTTACATAGACATGAAGACACACAAATGTCAGATTATGACAAACATGTTTAAAATCTTATTTATATTTAATGTAAATAATAAAGCCTATGTAGATTTGGAGGCAGATTTCCGATACCATACCCATCTCAATGAACTGCCTCAAGTACCCAGTGATACGTTGGTTTGTTTCAGCTGGGTATTCATCATCAGCAGCAGCAGCAGGCCACAATATTTGAGAAAGCAGCATCTACATCATGACCAGTAGACTATTGGTTAAACACTGACATTGAATATGTTTGGACAAATACTGAGGGAATAAAAATCAAATATTAACCTAATGTATAAAAGTACTCATTACCTCAGAGGAGCAAGAGTCTTCAGATTCCATTTAAAAAAACGCCACATCCTTCCTCTCAGTCAGAAGACCAAACCATTGTATCTTTAAGTCCTTGTCTGAGTTGTTTCATTTGGCATGTTCTTCTCCCAAGAACCGACAATATCTACCAAAATGAGCAAAACAGCCAGTAGATTTCACAGAAGAGAGTTTAATAAGCATAATTCCGACATACTCAGAAGACATAACATAAAACATGGTCTTGTCCAGTAGGGAAATACAGGTATTTGAATACATGTAATCACATACCACAAACAAGAAATTTACATTACTGCATGTGAAAACAGACGTTTGTAGAGCCACCTTCTGTTTTCTTTGGTTGGACCCGCGAGATCCCAAGACAAACAAAGCTCCAAAACTTTCTCATGTTGGTCCTCATCCAATGGACACTCTACATTAAGCTCAATTAAACATTTTACAAAATTAGTACAAAACAACCTTAGAGTAAAAAGAATACTTACTGAAAAATTGACCAAGTATCTACATTTTATATACATCCCAGGTTGATGGTCTCTCACACATCAATATCAGGGCAGTCCTATAACATTAAAGTGGCTGTATCATGTGAACCAAAAAGCAGCACATAGACAAAAGCTCTGCTGAGCCCTGCAAGACATGGTCACGCTCTCTTCCTTAAAGACAATGTCTCCTAAAAAAGTTAATTATAGCAAGGCCTAGGGCCTGACCAAAAAGAGGAAGTGCAACACACACAGCACACATACCCAAGAATATGAACTCACTCACACACAGACCCAGAGTAATCAGAATAACAAACTAATGGCTAGTGATAATTTGACAAAATCATACAGTACATATGCTAATAACAATGCAGGAAAAAGCATATAGGTACCATGATAAAGAAGGAAAAAGCACACAGGTTATAAATGACCTCACTCAAAGTCAGCTCAGAAATGCCATAGAAAGCAAAAACAAAAAGAAAAGAACTGATAGAGTAAGTGCAAACTCAACAGGTTTCAAGAAGTCTGAGGCAGAAATAGCAGGATTGGAAAGAACATAAAAATGCATTACATCACCCATACATCACCCAGACATCACATGTAATGGTATTTGGGCAAACCAGGGGTGTGTCAACACTATAAAAGGGGAGCCCCATTTCAGGGGACTGAGAGATCACTTTTTGAGACGTCCCAAACTGTTTGGATCTCATGTAACAAATTAAATAAATTGGACCTTCACCTTTTCTCACTCACTGGTTCCGTGTGGTGATTTAGTCTTTGAGTATCTCAGCTGATGAAAGCTATTGTAAGTACATTTAATATTTCGTAAATTGTTATTTTGGTAATAAGAAAGTAGGCAAAATTTGACCTACAAGGTCCATGTACATCAGAAGCGGCTTCCCAGTCTCATGGAGACGAAGAATTTCCTGGGTGTACAAGGACACAGCCACTTTGGGATCAGGGTGGGTCTTCCAATCTAGATGGGCAGAAAGCACAGATTTTGTTAAGTGTGGCAGTATTAGATGAAATGCACTCAAATGTCACCCAACAGTTATCCACTGGCATTAGTCAAGTACAAAAAGAAGCAGCAACTGTAATTACCATTATCCACCCACAGCACATCAGTTGTGTTGTTCATTGTGTCATTGACTGTTCTACAGTGTAAAAGAAAATCACACATATAAGACACGGCACATTTTAAAAATATCATCATATGTTAATAATATCAGATTTTATCCATCTTCATTACCTTTCTCCATCTTGATACCTTAAGTATGCTTACCAATGAAGCAAAAGCTTTATGAACAATGTTTTGAAAACTCTGCCAAATGCAATGTTTAAATTTAAAAAGAAACTTGTCCAGGGAATTGCATTTAATTACGAAAAGACCAATAATATCAAAGGCTTCTCTGAAGTAAAAGGCACTGTGAGAGTGTGGCATTGATGTTGGAGAAGTTGCAGTGTAGTCAGGAGTGTGTACCCAAATCTTCAGAGAGGAGTTTGGGCTTCAACTGGGGAAGGTGTTCAGCTTTGTACATCTTAGTGTTCAGGAGTTTCTGGCTGCTTTATACATATTTCTCTCCTTCATCAGCAGAAATGTAACAGAACAACAAACCTGTCTGATCTTTTCACCATATCTGATCTCCTCAGGAGTGCAGTGAACAAGGCCTTACAGAGTGAGAACGGACACCTGGACCTGTTCCTCCGCTTCCTTCTGGGTCTCTCACTGGAGTCCAATCAGACTCTCTTACGAGGCTTATTGCCACAGACAGGAAGCAGCTCTCACAGCAAACAGGAAACAGTCGAGTACATCAAGGACAAGATCCAGGAGAATCCATCTCCAGAGAAATCCATCAATCTGTTCCACTGTCTGAATGAACTGAATGATCATTCTCTAGTGCAGGAAGTACAGACTTACCTGAACAGAAAAGACTACTTTAGTCTCAGGGGAACCAGACTCTCTCCTGCTCAGTGCTCAGCTCTGGTGTTTGTGTTACTGATCTCAAACTCTAATTTGATGAATTTTAATTTGATTCTAATTTACTGAACTCTAATTAGTCTTACTGCATGGTTTGTTATTTCCATAGCGGTTATGGTTTGTACGGGGGACGGGTTGCTAGCCCGACCCTCTCTTTTGCATTTGGGCTTGGGACCGGCAATGGCGGACACTCATGGACACTAAGGACAATTTAGACACGCCAATCAGCCTACCTGGGGAGGAAACCAGAGTACCTGGAGTACGGGGATGCATGTACATGCCCCACACAGATGGCCCCGGCGGGAATCGAACCCCGGACCCTGAAGGTGTTAGGATAACGTGCTAACCATTAAGCCACTAAAGACTAAGACTAAACACGTTACATCTGCACCGAGATCTGGGCCATATGGACAAAACCTTATATCACAATTTATTACCTTTTCTCTAAAACTGATGAATAAATGATCTCTACAAAATAACTGCATGTATAAATCACTGCTTTTTGATCATTTTGTGAACTAGTGAAAGGCACGTTTTCTTTTCTCCTTTTATTTGAAAGACACATTGAATAGAACTTCACAAACGAGAGGAAGAAAAATAGAACACTGTCACCATTGGAACAATATGAACACAACATGTGACATTGGCGATATAAAGGATATAGGAAAAAATCTGTCAATAGACATGATTGATTATTCAATGAGATGTAGCAGTGTATCGCCCAATCTGCACTGAGGAACACATGTGAGAGTGTTGTGGGAAACAATCTTTCCAACCTAAGTTTAAAAACTTCAAAGACAGATGGTTTGTAGATGCCAAAGGTCATCAAACTTTATTGAACCAACAAAGTGAGAGAGTGCAGAAAGTCTGAATTATACACACTCAAACATGTCTTTATATACTTTATATACTTTTCTGAAGCAGTAAAATTATCCCTAGTCAGGGCATTAACCTCTTCTTTCTAAAACCAACAAAGTGAGAGAGTGCAGAAAGTCTGAATTATACACACTCAAACATGTCTTTATATACTTTATATACTTTTCTGAAGCAGTAAAATTATCCCTAGTCAGGGCATTAACCTCTTCTTTCTAAAAACAAACCAATTTCCATCGCCTTAATGAATTATTCCTTACATTTACCGTACATTTGTGGTGCATGTGCTGTCAGTTGGATTTTCTTAAAAGTTTTATTGGGACAGGATTTATACCTTAATGATCTTCTGGCTTTAGTCCCAGCCTGGTACACTTCATCCTGGAAGTCTGATCTGTTATTGTGACACTGGTATTGAAGCTTAAAGGGCTTTGATTGGAAACACAGTTCTAGTGAATGTCTAATTGCTAATTTATTGCCAGAGTACAGCTGCATTAGACAAAACACACAGTTCTTCTCAGTTTACACAGGACATACAGAGATACAGAAAAACACCAGATGTTCAGTAACACATAAACGTCTTCTAGCTCACTACACACTTACAATAGAACTTAATTAAAAACTCTTCTGTGCTTTTTCACTTTCACACCAACCTTGTTTGCTTTGGACTGATTAGACTTTCTCTTTAGATTAGATCTGGTGTGGGATTAGTTTACAGGATGAAAGAGAATTGTCCTTGAGGATGGATTTCCAGTTAGCAAAAACATTATAATAATCCGTCTGTGCAGATCAAGGGAAATGTCCTGTTTATGACTTTAATTCCTAACAAAAAATGTGTGAACATTTAACTTGAATAAATACATACATAAATAAATAAACAACTAAATAATGCATTGCCATTGCACTGTGTAAGACGGATTTCCAGTTAGCATCAACTTACTCCACACTCTCTCTCTCTCTCTCTCTCTCTCTCACACACACACACACACACACACACACACACACACACACACACACACACACACACACACACACACACACACACACACACTGTACTCTGGACACACCGAGGTACACACATACACTCACACACGCACTTTGTGTATATAAAGCTTTTGTGTAGTTGATGTTTTCAGAACTAAAACTGAGTGTTAAGTGTGAGAAGGTTTTTGTTTTGCAGGATGATTAAATGCAGTATTACAGATGAAGGTTGTGTTTCTCTGGCTTCAGCTCTAAGGTCAAACTCCTCATCACACCTGAGAGAACTGAATCTGAATGGTAATAATCCAGGAAAATCAGGAGTGAAGCTGCTCTCTGATCTACTGAAGGATCCACACTGTAAACTGGAGACATTATAGTGAGTTACTAACTTACTGTCTCTTTACTCTACTCTACTGTATCATACTGAATAATGTGTGTGTGTGTGTGTGTGTGTGTGTGCTGTTGTTCTTCTGTCTTACAGCATTAAGAATAATAAAATCACCAGGACTGGCGTATGATAGGAGTCTCACCTCAAACCTCTTCTCCAGGATAAAGCAGTTTTGGTGAAGCATTTACGTCAACACATCCACCATATTGACTACGTTTACATGAACAGCAATAATCTAAATATTGACCGTAATTGAAGTAAGGTCATAATATGATTAAGCTGTTTACATGAGTGTCTTTTAGAATACTCCTGTCATGTTCCCGTTTTACATGTCATAGATCATAATTAGGTTAAGAGCCCGCGTCATTACGTCACCGCGCCAGGCCGTCTACATATCAACATTTCAGTATCGGAACATCCGGTTAGATTATTTTGTGGTTTTTTTTTTTTTTTTTTTTTTTTTTGTGCAGTTAATTATTTGTCATGATGTACGTGCTAATAGACGACTGCTTGAAGCCGTGGGCTGCTTCTCAAATCGCATACTTACCTACTGTATAGTAGCCGAGATACATGTCTTTTTCTTCACTACAGGACTATAGTATGCAGTTTGGGACACAGCCGAACTCTCTTGTTTGCCCTAAAAAAGGAAAACTGCCGTGTGTGATCGTGTCATGTCACAAAATGCGGTGAAAACGCTCACACGATGTTCATAATGTGATTAAGGTGTCTATCTGTAATACACGTCCATAATACGATTAAAACAGGAGTACTCCACCTGTCTTAATTTGATTAGAGTTTACTTAGATTATGACCTTAATTAGATTAAGGTTGGTGTTTACATGGTAGTTTCTTAATCAAAGTATGGTCTTAATTAGGTTAAGAGTGGATTATTGTTGTCCATGTAGTAGTCATTGATGAGGGAAAGACCACGCTGTAGACAAATACAAGTAAACGGAGGAGCTGTGATTTTTCTGGATACTAATTTACATGATTTACTGGAGATGATAACGGCAGCGTTTTAAAAAAAAACTTGCAAATAGAAATGAATTAGAGTTTTTATGATTCACACTATATTACACTCCATTCTTCTTATTATTTATTGAAAATAATCAAGGTTTTTTTTGTTTAAAAAAAATCAATTTCATGATACAGATTACTATTAAAGCTGCAACTAACGATTATTTTCACAAGCGATTAATTGGTCGATTATTTTTCGATTAATCTGTTGGGGGTGGGGCAAATTTTCAGTGCCTTTTTTGTTTATTTAAAATAATATCCACAAGCTGAGTGTTACAAATATAAATTCATTCTAAAACTTTATATATAAATAAATAAATAAATATATATATATATATATATATATATATATATATATATATATATATATATATATATATATATATATATATATATATATATATATATATATATATATATATAAAATAGTGTATACGTACTTATATAATATAAATGTAAATTAACTAAATAAGATAAATATATATAAAAATGTATAAATAGAGTTAGATAGATAGCATTATTTTTTATGGATGTACAAAAAGCACAGAATCTAGTCCTGAAGTCTAAGTCTTAAATGAATAATAAAAACTCACTTTCCCTGCACCTTGTGGTTTCTGTTCCTCGCTGTCTTTAGGAATATTATTTTATTTTTGATCATAATGTTTTAATTAGACATTACAGATCTTACTTGCACTACACTCTGTATCAGCGCGTTTACACCGCGCATGATCAGCAACGCGGCCTCGTTACTAACACGTTACTTCCAACAGAATTTACACTGCAAGTGCACAGATAAAGCATACAATGACCAACTTACATTAAACTAAACCTTTTGAGCAGCTTGCGACCGCATCACTGTCATGCTTCCGTGCTCCACAAACTCCGCTTTATAAAGTTTATAAACCTTCTCGGCGGTGTTTAATCCCTGACTTAGAGGACACACACTTTCTTCCTCAGTAACGAGATGATATCTCCTCCGTCTAATGAGGACTGAGGTCATGTTGAGAATAAAAGATAACGCTGACAGAAAGTAAACTGAAGAAAGTCAGTGCCGGTGACTCTGAGGCTAAAGCTAAAGCATTACATGCGTGTGACGATTTGCTGACATTGCTCCTCTTCCAACTACCTGCTCATGTGACGAGAGGTTAGGCTATGTCACGTTGTCATAAAGTGGTATTGGTGTGGTTGTATTGAGATAGTTTTACAAGTACGAGTACATGAACACAGTATCGGGCCGGCACCTGAGTACTGGTATTGACATCGGTGCATCCCTAACACACACACAATTAAATTGGAGCAGTGAACCATAAGATTTTTGATGATGTCATGTACAGGTCAGTGGTCTAGAACTCACTTTCTTTCTCTCCTCCCTTGATAATCGTTGTTTTAATGTAATAATGTATACATTCCATTCATCTCTGTAATCTTCTTCCCTATTTGTGGATATTCTTGAGTGAAATAGTCGAGGCCTCCACTACATTAGAAACGGAAAAACTGAATGTGAAGTGTAGTAGTGCTAGTGCGTGTGAATAGACTATCAGTTTAGGTACTGACCCTGAACACAACTAACATGCAGTGCTTGCTTGGGGTGGTGATGAAGTTGGACTTGAACCGGTAAGATAGATATTAGAAAGAGGCTTCCTTACACTCCTGAGGATGTTCAATTAGAACCTGCACCAAACTCATCCGATTCAAATCATCAGCTAATTAAGCGGCCTACACGAGCTGAGATGGGTGCTTTAGAGGAGATAAAAGAACCAAATGTGTTCGATAAGAGTTCAGAGCCTGTGTTCTACAATGAGGGAAATAAGTATTTGATCCCCTGCTGATTTTGTACATTTGCCCACTGACAAAGATATGATCAGTCTATAATTTTAATGGTAGGTTTATTTGAACAGTGAGAGACAGAATAACAACAAGAAAATCCAGAAAAACGCATGTCAAAAATGTTGTACATTTTTTTGCATTTTAATGAGGGAAATAAGTATTTGACCACCTCTCAATCAGAAAGATTTCTAGCTCCCAGGTGTCTTTTATACAGGTAACGAGCTGAGATTAGGAGCACACTCTTAAAGGGAGTGCTCCTAATCTCAGCTTGTTACCTGTATA